TATTCAGTAGATAGTATTGATTTCGAATTGTAAAACATAGTTTAATTATTTAATTCAGCTTTAAGTGAGAACGCATATTCAGTACTAATTCATGAGTTCAATCAAACAGTAGACTTTTTTTAAAAATATTATTTATTTTATTGTTTTTTTATTCTATTTTAATTTATAATTAGGTATTTTATCATCCTATGCTATTATTCTATCAGGTTCTGTCTTGGGCAGATGTAGAATTTATTAATATAAATTAATACTGCAGCGATTCTGTAGAATTAATGTAATAATGCTATAACTAAAAAGAAGACTTTTCTAGTTAAATAGATGAGACAATACAATTTATCAAAAATGGAAATTATTCTATTGAAGATCAATTTAACTTAGATTAACTGTATTAAAGATGGGAAAGATTTGGATAAAAACTGTAATTTTATATTTATTTATTTGTTATTTGTACATTTATAATTTTTTAAAAAAAGGATAAGCATAATTTTCCCTATCAAGAGCTAGATAAAAGGATTTAATAACCAATAGCCATATTCTTACGCTATATTAATGACCGCAAGAGCAATAACAGATAAAAGCGATGACTTGAAGTTGTTTAATCTTTTGAATGTGAATTTTATAAGAATACCATTGATTATAGAATTTATTATAGTGAGCTTTATCATAATCCTCTTTTTAATTTATTATGGCTATTTTTTAATTTTTTAAATTTATTATCCAATCTAGCTTTTAATTCTATTCTTAAGAAGAAGCTACATGGAGTAATAATCTTGCTAATTAAGCTAAAAAATAAAAAATCAATTCAAATAGAATTAATAAACACAATAGATAAACCGTTAATAATCCAAAAGTTTTCAAAAAAAATCACTTTACAATAAAGCAAATAAAATAAAAAATGACGATTCTTTAAATGTTTAATAGTAAAATGACTAATCTGATAATGGATAGTAAATTAAAATAAATTAAACAAAAAGTAGCCAAAATAAATTTATGACAGAGGAATAGCAATTAATGATGCAAAGTCATTCTAAATATAATTTTAAATAAATTGATGATGAGTAGAAGTATTTAAAAAAATACTAAGAATAACTATCGCCAAAAATTCGTCAAGCAAGATCTATATTGAATAATTCAAATAATTATAATCAATCATAAATTATGTTTAAAAAGTAAATGAAATTGAATGAATTTATACCAAATAAGTCACCATTAGCTACTTCTTAATATACAATTTACTAAAAAAATACATTAGAAAAAAACTCTGCTTTAAAAATAATTAAAAGTTTTGATAAATCTATGTTTAATTCTAGATATTCTTAAAAAAATGATGATTTTGATTATGTTTAATAATTAGAATTCCTCTAAGAAAAGAACAAAGATGAAAGTAAATTAAAAATTTTAAAAGGATTAAAGCCTTTGTTTTTGGAAATGAAAATTATCAAAAAAACTTTTTAAGATTTAGAAGGATTAATTAATTATTAAATAGATTCTTAGAATCAAAACTCAAAAGATGTTATGAATACTCTTTTTCATTTCACTAAGGCTAAAGCTACTTTTTAATAACTCAAAAACCAAATTGGTCTGTCTAGATGTTATTTTAATCTTGGTATAATTTATATTTTAAAACATAATTACAATCTAGCTTAAGAATATTTTGAATCATCAATTATTTTAAGTTTAGAAGTTCTTGGTTTAGACTATTTAAGCTTAATCAATCAAAAATTAATTTTCAAATAAGAGGAGGGAACAGAGAGCTAACTTACAATTCTATGCAAAAGAATTTGTTCAAAAGCATATTCTTGCAAATAATATGCTCTTTAATAGATTTACTTAGAAGATAACTCCTTTGAAAATAATTATTTCTTTGAATAGTAATAACAAAACTAATAAATGGAACTAAATGTTTAAAAAATAAATTATTTACTAAAGAATTCACTAGAGTCATATAAAGCGGTTGAAAAAATAATTAAAAATAATAATTTATTATTCTCGCAAGTATTTTAAGTGTTTTTATAGCAAGAAATACTTGAAATTCTCATATTTTTAGGAAATATTTAAGAAGTATTTTAATAATTTGAGAATATTAATTTTATTTTAGAGTAATAAGAAAATTTTAAATAAAATCATTTTTAGTTTTTCCTTTGTTAATCTTATTAAAATCAATCCAAAAACCTTACAGAAGAAAACTCTTTTAACAAAATTAAATGCACAGCTAATGGAGAAGTAAATATAATCAATTAAATTTACGAAATTTAAAAGAGTAGATAGAAGTTCTTGAGAGGATTGATAGAGATTAAACAATATAACTACAGAGAGGCTATTGAATAGTTTACTTTGTTTATTGAGGAGGGATCTTATTACAGTTGTCAATTAAGAAGGAAAGCAATTCATCACCTTAATTAGCTATTTATGATAGAATTTAATAAATAAATAGATTTGAAGAAAATTTATTTGGATTAAAAAGCTTGTATTCCATATGATATAACAATAATAATATAGCTGGAATATTAGAGTTAATATTCTTCTTTCGAGTCTTGTATTTTAAATCTTTAAAATTAGAATTTTTTTAGGAAATATGATCGAATTTAAATATTGATATACGATACATAGTTGGAAATATTTATGCCATTCACTTTGATAAGCAGTGATCATCAATTAAATTAGATTATAAACTCTTTAAGGGATTTAGGAAAATTATTTATTTAAGTTAATTAAAAGAAGCTTAAAGAGTTAAATTGGGTACAAGCAATTGAATTATCTCAAAGTTGTATTTATGAACATAAATACAATGATTTTATCAATTTTTAATAAATGTTAAAATCAGTAAAAAAAGGCTATAAAAATTTTATGAGATACAAACATCTGAAGATTTAATAGAATATGAATGAATAAGAAAGAAAAAAAATAATTATTCTATTTTCAAAATAACAAAACAGCTAAATATAAAGCTTGAATATTAGTGATGTGTACAAACTAATAAATCATCAAAAATTAATAATTTATCATTTAAAGGAATACTCTCTTTTAGAGAACTAAAGCGAACAATACTAAACTCCTTTTTTAAATTATGAGTCTTTTGTTGATGATATCCCATTCATTAATTAGTTTAAATAATTAAGAGAGGAAGATAGTTTAAATGAAGAAAATGAATTCATAGCAATTCTAAATAACTCTTGACAATATTTTGAAAACTTTTAATAATAACTTTATTTTTTTTTAAATTGAATAATAAATATTTTCATATGTTGTAAATACTGTAAATATTAAATTAAGAAAATGATCTTATTACATTTATTTTTATAAAAATATTACGCTTATTTGAAAAAAGTTTGTGTATTTATATTAATTTTTGTAAGCATTTTAAAATCAAATATAAAGTAAATAATTAAGATGTATAACAAAAAAATATTGATAATTAATATAATAATTATTTGAAATATCAGAAACTATGATATCATTAATGGTTGGTTTGTGATATTTCAAATACAGGAACAGCTATATTTAAAAATCTTTTATAGTTTATAAAAAAACTAATTAAAGCAAAAATGTTATATTTAGATTTTTCAAATATCAATTCTAATTAATTAATTATAAACATAAATACACTTAAAAGATCATAATTTAAACAAAAAGTTTTAGAATGGCTATGAATAACATTTTATACTAAATTGAGAATAAATATTGTTAAAGAAAAGGTTATATAAGTATATATATATATTGTAAAAAATAAACAGTTGATCATAATTTATTAATTAGAATAAAATTAATGCTCTTTAAACTTACAAAACAACCATTATGATATTCGTAATTTAGTCAATTAAAATTTTGTATATTAGTTGGTAAAAAAAATAAGTAGAAATAAGTAACCCTAATAAATATGAATCTATTTTTAGGCAAAAATTATTTAATTTGCTAATTCTTTTCATAATTTAACAAATATTAAATCAACTTCCAATTTTCAATTATTTAATTAATAAAAGAGGTGATCAAATTACTAATTATGCAAGCTCTTATTTTAAAGCTAATTATTATAGTTTCTATTCCAATCATTATAGGTGTTGGAATAGTATTAACTGTATTCTATAAGCAGCTATGGATTGCACTCGATGAGTGGTAAGTTTAACAATTTTATAATAAATACAGAAAATCTTTTTAAAATTATGATTTTGTAATCATCATATTCATCATCATCATCACATTTATATAAGTTATTAAGCTCTAAAAAAATGTATAAATTTAAAATAATTAACAAATAATTAGGGAAAGGGACAGTAGTGTATGGATAAATCAGACGCAGTAATAAACCCTATACAATTCTGTACTATCACAGTAACTTCTAGAATAGTACAGCTTTAACTAAGTACATATTTACTTAATATAAATGGACTATTTATTTATGAAAAAAATAAAATGAATGAGTTTTTTATTTATTTTAATCACTTATTAAGCTCTAATTACATATGGTGGTTATGAAAAGTTTACTCTCAAAATATTAATAATCTATCATCATATGTAAATATTTATTTATATTTTCAAATTTACAATCAAATCCTTTAATCAAAAGAAAATCCTGCAGCTAATTTTACAGTTTGTTCATATAGAGAATTGGAATTCAATTAATGTGCTTAAAATGTTTATGACTAATTAAACGAAAATCTGTTCTATGCAGATATATACTTTGTAAGATCTATTTTTGAATTTAAACTCCTTACTCCTCAACAATAATATTTCATTGAAATGGTATTTTTTTAATATATTTCACCATATTTTTATCTCTATGTTTTAGAATCAAAGAGTTTCTTTTTATGGAAGGGCATCTGTTCTAGCAACTCAAAATGAAGGACTTATATAATTGATATACTCATATAATTCAGATACAACTTCTATTTTATATGGCGTACCTACATAGTAATAAATATATTAAACATATCTTTTTTTTATTATAGCTTTTATATTAATAGGTTATTCAACGTTACAGATGCTGATTATGAATCCTGTATGGGAAGCGGTTTCATAGAACCATATGACCCAAGATGTAGACATTGGTACGCCTACGCCTAGTAAAATCAAGGTATGATTTTTATATTTACAATAATTTATCAAATTTAATTTTAGCTAAGATTTTATTTAGACAAAAAGCTAAGCAAATCATAAGTAGAATTTTCTTAAAAGCATGCTGCAAACATGTGCTCAACTTCAATAACTTTTTACATTACAAATATTAGTATTAATTATAATAGATAATAAAAAAACTACAAAAAAAATAAAAAGTAATTAACAGTTTAATTAAATATTAAGGTATTAAAAATTTTTTAGAATAAAGAAAACCTAAACTGAGTATAAATTTCTGATTTAAGTATATTTTAAATTAAAAGTAAATGATTTAACTTTCAAAATGATATTGTAATTATATTTTATAGCCATTACCACATATTTCTACTTTACACTTTTAAAATTTTTAGAATAGAAAAATTTTATGAGTAATTTTTAAAAATGCGAATTTATTTGAAGCTTTAAAAGAGTTAAATTCCTTGATTTTTTTGAACTTAATTAATTATATTTTAAATATGAATATAAACATAGTAAAAATTAAGTTTTTATTTATTTTTATTTATATTTTTATTTTTTTCAACAATTATTATAGGATTCTTCATTTATGAGCCTTATCTCAATGTAGTAGTAGATAATTTACTGATGACTCTTTCTAGTTAAGTTGATTATAAAAAAGAGTTTTATTCAGTAGCTAGTATTGATTTCGGAATGTAAAATATAGTTTAATTATTTAATTCAGCTTTAAGTGAGAACGCATATTCAGTACTAATTCATGAGTTCAATCAAACAGTAGACTTTTATTAAAAATATTATTTATTTTATTGTTTTTTTATTCTATTTTAATTTATAACTTAGGTATTCTATCATCCTATGTTATTATTCCATCAGGTTCTGTCTTGGGCAGATTTAGAATTTATTAATATAAATTAATACTGCAGCGATTCTGTAGAATTAATGTAATAATGCTATAACTAAAAAGAAGACTTTTCTAATTAAATAGATCAGACCATACAATTTATCAAAAATGGAAATTATTCTACTGAAGATCAATTTAACTTAGATTAACTGTATTAAAGATGGGAAAGATTTGGATAAAAACTGTAATTTTATATTTATTTATTTATTATTTGTAGATTTATAATTTTTTAAAAAAAGGATAAGCATAATTTTCCCTATCAAGAGCTAGATAAAAGGATTTAATAACCAATAGCCATATTCTTACGCTATATTAATGACCGCAAGAGTAATAACAGATAAAAGCGATGATCTGAAGTTGTTTCACCTTTTGAATGTGAATTATATAAGAATACCATTGATAATAGAATTTATTATAGTGAGCTTTATCATAATCCTCTTTTTAATTTATTATGGCTATTTTTTAATTTTTTAAATTTATTATCCAATCTAGCTGTTAATTCTATTCTTAAGAAGAAGCTACATGGAGTAATAATCTTGCTAATTAAGCTAAAAAATAAAGAATCAAATCAAATAGAAATAATAAACACAATAGATAAATCGTTAATAATCCAAAAGTTTTCAAAAAAAATCACTTTACAATAAAGCAAATAAAATAAAAAATGACGATTCTTTAAATGTTTAATAGTAAAATGACTAATCTGATAATGGATAGTAAATTAAAATTAATTAAATAAAAAGTAGCCAAAATAAATTTATAACAGAGGAATAGCAGTTAATGAAGCAAAGTCATTCTAAATATAATTTTAAATAAATTGATGATGAGTAGAAGTATTTAAAAAAATACTAAGAATAATTATCGCCAAAAATTAATGAAGCAAGATCTATATTGAATAATTCAAATACCTATAATTAATCATAAATTATGTTTAAAAAGTAAATGAAATTGAATGAATTTATACCAAATAAGTCACTATAAAGTAGTTCTTATAATACAATTTACTAAAAAAATACATAAGAAAAAAACTACTCAGCTTTAAAAATAAGGAAAAGCATTGGTAAGTCTAAGCTTAGTTCTAAATATTCTTAGAAAAATGATAACTTTGATTATGTTTAATAATTAGAATTCCTCTAAGAAAAGAACAAAGACGAAAGTAAATTAAAAATTTTAAAAGGATTAAAGCCTTTATTTTTGGAAATGAAAATTATCAAAAAAGCTTTTTAAGATTTAGAAGGATTAATTAATTATTAAATAGATTCTTAGAATCAAAACTCAAAAGATGTTATGAATACTCTTTTTCATTTCACTAAGGCCAAAGCTACTTTTTAATAGCTTAAAAACCAAATTGGTCTGTCTAGATGTTATTCTAATCTTGGTTTAATTTATATTTTAAAACATAATTACAATCTAGCTTAAGAATATTTTGAATCATCAATTATTTTAAGTTTAGAAGTTCTTGGTTTAGACTATTTAAGCTTAATCAATCAAAAATTAATTTTCAAATAAGAAGAGGGAACAGAGAGCTAACTTACAATTCTATGCAAAAGAATTTGTTCAAAAGCATATTCTTGCAAATAATATGCTCTTTAATAGATTTACTTAGAAGATAACTCCTTTGAAAATAATTATTTCTTTGAATAGTAATAACAAAACTAATAAATGGAACTAAATGTTTAAAAAATAAATTATTTACTAAAGAATTCACTAGAGTCATATAAAGCGGTTGAAAAAATAATTAAAAATAATAATTTATTATTCTCGCAAGTATTTTAAGTGTTTTTATAGCAAGAAATACTTGAAATTCTCATATTTTTAGGAAATATTTAAGAAGTATTTTAATAATTTGAGAATATTAATTTTATTTTAGAGTAATAAGAAAATTTTAAATAAAATCATTTTTAGTTTTTCCTTTGTTAATCTTATTAAAATCAATCCAAAAACCTTACAGAAGAAAACTCTTTTAACAAAATTAAATGCACAGCTAATGGAGAAGTAAATATAATCAATTAAATTTACGAAATTTAAAAGAGTAGATAGAAGTTCTTGAGAGGATTGATAGAGATTAAACAATATAACTACAGAGAGGCTATTGAATAGTTTACTTTGTTTATTGAGGAGGGATCTTATTACAGTTGTCAATTAAGAAGGAAAGCAATTCATCACCTTAATTAGCTATTTATGATAGAATTTAATAAATAAATAGATTTGAAGAAAATTTATTTGGATTAAAAAGCTTGTATTCCATATGATATAACAATAATAATATAGCTGGAATATTAGAGTTAATATTCTTCTTTCGAGTCTTGTATTTTAAATCTTTAAAATTAGAATTTTTTTAGGAAATATGATCGAATTTAAATATTGATATACGATACATAGTTGGAAATATTTATGCCATTCACTTTGATAAGCAGTGATCATCAATTAAATTAGATTATAAACTCTTTAAGGGATTTAGGAAAATTTTTTATTTAGGTCAATTAAACGAAGCTTAAAGAGTTAAATTGGGTACAAGCAATTGAATTATCTCTAAGTTGTATTTATGAACATAAATACAATGATTTTATCAATTTTAAATAAATGTTAAAATCAGTAAAAGAAGGCTATAAAAATTTTATGAGATACAAACATCTGAAGATTTAATAGAATATGAATGAATAAGAAAGAAAAAAAATTATTATTCTATTTTCAAAATAACAAAACAGATAAATATAAAGCTTGAATATTAGTGATGTGTACAAATTAATAAATCATCAAAAATTAATAATTTATCATTTAAAGGAATATTCTTTTTTGGAGAACGAAAGCGAGCAATACTAAACCCCTTTTTTAAATTATGAGTCTTTTGTTGATGATATCCCATTCATTAATTAGTTTAAATAATTAAGAGAGGAAGATAGTTTAAATGAAGAAAATGAATTCATAGCAATTCTAAATAACTCTTGAGAATATTTTGAAAATTTTTAGTAATAACTTTATTTTTTTCAAATTGAATAAAAAATATTTTCTATGTTGTAAATGTTAAATTAAGAAAATAATCTTTTTACATTTATTTTTATTAAAATATTAGGCTTATTTTTCAATATTTTTAATATAAATATATATATAGCTAGGTGGTCAACTAACTACCCTCGTAATTAAACTAACACCTAAAAGTATTCTTTTTAGATATTATTTTTATTTAAATTCTTAAGATTTTACTATTGTAACATCTAATATTTGCTATAGTGTATATTGTAAAAAATAAACAGTTGATCATAATTATTAATTAAAATAAAATTAATATCCCTTTAAACTTACAAAACAATCATTATGCTATTCGTAAATTAGTCAGTTTAAATTTTGTATATTATTATGTAAAAAATATAAAAAGAAATCAGTAACCCTATTAAATAATGAATTTTTGATTAATTTTTTGTCAAAAATTATTTAATTTGCTAATTCTTTACATTATTTAACAATTATTTAATCAATTTCCAATTTTCAATTATTTAATTAATAAAAGAGGTGATCAAATTACTAATTATGCAAGCTCTTATTTTAAAGCTGATTATTATAGTTTCTATGCCAATCATTATAGGTGTTGGAATAGTATTAACTGTATTCTATTATCAGCTATGGATTGCACTCGATGAGTGGTAAGTTTAACAATTTTATAATAACTACAGAAAATTATTTTAAGATTATGATTTTGTAATCATCATATTCATCATCATCATCATCACATTTATATAAGTTATTAAGCTCTAAAAAAATGTATAAATTTAGAATAATTAACAAATAAATAGGGAAAGGGACAGTAACATATGGATAAATTAGACGCAGTAAAAAATCCTATACAATTCTGTACTATCACAATAACTTCTAGAATAGTACAGCTTTAACTAAGTACATATTTACTTAATATAAATGGACTATTTATGAAAAAACATAATATGAATGAGTTTTTTATTTATTTTTATAAAGCTCTAATTACATATGGTGGTTATGAAAAGTTTACTCTCAAAATATTAATAATCTATCATCATATGTAAATATTTATTTATAATTTTAAATTTATAACAAAATCCTATCATTTTAATCAAAAGAAAATCCTGCAGCTCATTTTACAGTTTGTTCATATAGAGAATTGATGTTCAATTAATGTGCTTAAAATGTTTATGACTAATTAAACGAAAATATGTTATATGCAGATATTTACTTTTCAAGATCTATTTTTGAATTTAAACTCCTTACTACTCAACAATAATATTTCATTGAAATGGTATTTTTTTAAAGTATTTCACCATATTTTTATCTCTCTGTTTTAGAATAATAGAGTTTCTTTTTATGCAAGGGCATCTTATCTAGCAACTCAAAATGAAGGACTTATCTAAATGGTATACTTTTATAATTCAGATACAACTTCTTTATAAAATGGCGTACCTTCAAAGTAATAAATATATTAACATATCTTTTTTTTATCATAGCTTTTATATTAACAGGTATTTCAACTATACAAATGCTGATTATTAATCCTGTATGGGAAGTGGTTTCATAGAACCATATGACCCAAGATGTAGACATTGGTACACCTACGCTTAGTAAAATCAAGGTTTGATTTTTATATTTACAATAATTTATCAAATTTAATTTCAGCTAAGATTTTATTTAGACAAAAAGCTAAGCAAAAATCAATCATAAGTATAATTTTCTTAAAAGCATGCTGCAAACATTTGCTCAACTTCAATAACTTTTTACATTACAAATATTAGTATTAATTATTATAGATAATAAAATAACTACTAAAATAATAAAAAGTAATTAACAGTTTAAATAAATATTTAGGTATTAAAAATTTTTTAGAATAATGAAAACCTAAACTGAGTATTAATTTCTGATTTAAGTATATTTTAAATTAAAAGTAAATGATTTAACTTTCAAAATGATATTGTAATTATATTTTATAGCCATTACCACCTATTTCTACTTATCTAAAAAATTTTATGAGTAATTTTTCAAAATGTGAATTTATTTAAAGCTATAAAAGAGTTAAATTCCTTAATTTTTTGAATTTAATTAATATATTTTAAATATGAATATAAACATAGTAAAAATTAAGTTTTTATTTATTTGTAGTTATATTTTTAATTTTTTCAACAATTATTATAGGATTCTTCATTTATGAGCCTTATCTCAATGCTGTAGTAGGCAATTTACTGATGACTCTTTCTAGTTAAGTTGATTATAAAAACGAGTTTTATTCAGTAGATAGTATAGATTTCGGAATGTAAAACATAGTTTAATTATTTAATTCAGCTTTAAGTGAGAACGCATATTCAGTACTAATTCATGAGTTCAATCAAACAGTAGACTTTTATTAAAAATATTATTATTTTATTGTTTTTTTATTCTATTTTAATTTATAATTTAGGTATTTTATCATCCTATGCTATTATTCTATCAGGTTCTGTCTTGGGCAGATTTAGAATTTATTAATATAAATTAATACTGCAGCGATTCTGTAGAATTAATGTAATAATGCTATAACTAAAAAGAAGACTTTTCTAATTAAATAGATGAGACAATACAATTTATCAAAAATGGAAATTATTCTATTGAAGATCAATTTAACTTAGATTAACTGTATTAAAGATGGGAAAGATTTGGATAAAAACTGTAATTTTATATTTATTTATTTATTATTTGTACATTTATAATTTTTTAAAAAAAGGATAAGCATAATTTTCCCTATCAAGAGCTAGATAAAAGGATTTAATAACCAATCGCCATATTCTTACGCTATATTAATGACCGCAAGAGTAATAACAGATAAAAGCGATGATCTGAAGTTGTTTCACCTTTTGAATGTGAATTATATAAGAATACCATTGATAATAGAATTTATTATAGTGAGCTTTATCATAATCCTCTTTTTAATTTATTATGGCTATTTTTTAATTTTTTAAATTTATTATCCAATCTAGCTGTTAATTCTATTCTTAAGAAGAAGCTACATGGAGTAATAATCTTGCTAATTAAGCTAAAAAATAAAAAATCAAATCAAATAGAAATAATAAACACAATAGATAAATCGTTAATAATCCAAAAGTTTTCAAAAAAAATCACTTTACAATAAAGCAAATAAAATAAAAAATGACGATTCTTTAAATGTTTAATAGTAAAATGACTAATCTGATAATGGATAGTAAATTAAAATAAATTAAATAAAAAGTAGCCAAAATAAATTTATAACAGAGGAATAGCAGTTAATGAAGCAAAGTCATTCTAAATATAATTTTAAATAAATTGATGATGAGTAGAAGTATTTAAAAAAATACTAAGAATAATTATCGCCAAAAATTAATGAAGCAAGATCTATATTGAATAATTCAAATACCTATAATTAATCATAAATTATGTTTAAAAAGTAAATGAAATTGAATGAATTTATACCAAATAAGTCACTATAAAGTAGTTCTTATAATACAATTTACTAAAAAAATACATAAGAAAAAAACTACTCAGCTTTAAAAATAAGGAAAAGCATTGGTAAGTCTAAGCTTAGTTCTAAATATTCTTAGAAAAATGATAACTTTGATTATGTTTAATAATTAGAATTCCTCTAAGAAAAGAACAAAGACGAAAGTAAATTAAAAATTTTAAAAGGATTAAAGCCTTTATTTTTGGAAATGAAAATTATCAAAAAAGCTTTTTAAGATTTAGAAGGATTAATTAATTATTAAATAGATTCTTAGAATCAAAACTCAAAAGATGTTATGAATACTCTTTTTCATTTCACTAAGGCCAAAGCTACTTTTTAATAGCTCAAAAACCAAATTGGTCTGTCTAGATGTTATTTTAATCTTGGTTTAATTTATATTTTAAAACATAATTACAATCTAGCTTAAGAATATTTTGAATCATCAATTATTTTAAGTTTAGAAGTTCTTGGTTTAGACTATTTAAGCTTAATCAATCAAAAATTAATTTTCAAATAAGAGGAGGGAACAGAGAGCTAACTTACAATTCTATGCAAAAGAATTTGTTCAAAAGCATATTCTTGCAAATAATATGCTCTTTAATAGATTTACTTAGAAGATAACTCCTTTGAAAATAATTATTTCTTTGAATAGTAATAACAAAACTAATAAATGGAACTAAATGTTTAAAAAATAAATTATTTACTAAAGAATTCACTAGAGTCATATAAAGCGGTTGAAAAAATAATTAAAAATAATAATTTATTATTCTCGCAAGTATTTTAAGTGTTTTTATAGCAAGAAATACTTGAAATTCTCATATTTTTAGGAAATATTTAAGAAGTATTTTAATAATTTGAGAATATTAATTTTATTTTAGAGTAATAAGAAAATTTTAAATAAAATCATTTTTAGTTTTTCCTTTGTTAATCTTATTAAAATCAATCCAAAAACCTTACAGAAGAAAACTCTTTTAACAAAATTAAATGCACAGCTAATGGAGAAGTAAATATAATCAATTAAATTTACGAAATTTAAAAGAGTAGATAGAAGTTCTTGAGAGGATTGATAGAGATTAAACAATATAACTACAGAGAGGCTATTGAATAGTTTACTTTGTTTATTGAGGAGGGATCTTATTACAGTTGTCAATTAAGAAGGAAAGCAATTCATCACCTTAATTAGCTATTTATGATAGAATTTAATAAATAAATAGATTTGAAGAAAATTTATTTGGATTAAAAAGCTTGTATTCCATATGATATAACAATAATAATATAGCTGGAATATTAGAGTTAATATTCTTCTTTCGAGTCTTGTATTTTAAATCTTTAAAATTAGAATTTTTTTAGGAAATATGATCGAATTTAAATATTGATATACGATACATAGTTGGAAATATTTATGCCATTCACTTTGATAAGCAGTGATCATCAATTAAATTAGATTATAAACTCTTTAAGGGATTTAGGAAAATTATTTATTTAAGTTAATTAAAAGAAGCTTAAAGAGTTAAATTGGGTACAAGCAATTGAATTATCTCTAAGTTGCATTTATGAACATAAATACAATGATTTTATCAATTTTAAATAAATGTTAAAATCAGTAAAAGAAGGCTATAAAAATTTTATGAGATACAAACATCTGAAGATTTAATAGAATATGAATGAATAAGAAAGAAAAAAAATTATTATTCTATTTTCAAAATAACAAAACAGCTAAATATAAAGCTTGAATATTAGTGATGTGTACAAATTAATAAATCATCAAAAATTAATAATTTATCATTTAAAGGAATACTCTTTTTTAGAGAACTAAAGCGAGCAATACTAAACCCCTTTTTTAAATTATGAGTCTTTTGTTGATGATATCCCATTCATTAATTAGTTTAAATAATTAAGAGAGGAAGATAGTTTAAATGAAGAAAATGAATTCATAGCAATTCTAAATAACTCTTGAGAATATTTTGAAAATTTTTAGTAATAACTTTATTTTTTTCAAATTGAATAAA